AGGCTGAAATCTTTGAAGTCTATAGCCATCAGACTAATTATCAGCGCCATTCAATGCAATTCATTTAATTACAGTAAATTGAAAAGGATGTGGGGTTTCCAAGGAAAATAAGAGAGTCAGTAAGTGGTGACAGAAATTAAAGACTATGTAAATCATCAGAGGAGACCTTGAGTCTTGTCTTCCTTTCTCTTACCAGACCCTATGCACACTAGACTACTGTATACATGGGAGAATAAGCGAGAGATGGATTGGAAGCAGGGAGGAGAGGACCAAAGCTAGGCAGATACTTGATATTGCTCATTTCATTTAATTCTCGTCATCAATCAAGGATATTATTTTTCATCTTTATAAATAAAAATAGCAGCAAACTCTCACTTATAGCCAAGTCCTGTTCTGAACATAATATAAATACAGTTACACCTAATATTATCCCAGTGAGCCATGTACTGCTTGCTATTACTTCAATTTACCCAGGTAGACAACATAACACAAAGTCAAGTGACTTGCCCCAGTTCCCAGAACTGGGAGGACCAGGGGCCAATAAGAAACCTCCCATGAAGATTCTCTAGGCTCTGAATCATGATGAGGTGGAAAGTAGGGATAACTCCCCCTGGGCAGCCTCATATTGAAGATCATCCTTCCATCAAAGATCACCCGTCCTCCCAGGAACACTAAGAGAGGAACAGGACAAGAAAAAGTGAGACTAGGGATGCCCCCAACAAACCATTGGCAGTTTAGCTGACCAAGCAGCAGACAGGGTATATAGCATTGGGACTTCGTGACATGGACAACAGTGGAAAAGGATTGGGGGCAGATGTGAAGAGATCTGAACCCTGATGGCTGGGGTATTCCCTCAGGCAGCCTCCACCACATCACACCGCTAGCCAACTAAGACTAAATTCAGGGCCTGCTGCCAAGGCTGTGAAATGATGTACATGAGACCATTTTTGAGGCATAAAGATAGTTGTTTTGAAAACACTGCAAAATCCTTTATTCTTGACATTTAGATATATATTCAGAATCAAGATCAGATTAGGGAAGCATTTGGTCAGGGCACACATCAGAGAAAGAAAAGAAGCCTAAAACGATCCAGAAACCACGGGTAATTTTACCTTTGATTTGGGGTACCCATCACATTTGTTTCATAGCCTTTCAAGGGCTTTCTTCCTGGAGTGCCTGGTAATAGGTGGGTCACGAATCACCACCATCCAGTGTGTGCCAGTTTTCAAGGCAATTGACATATAACAAGGATTGCAACCACAGAGACCAGTTATGTTAAGAAAGGACTTCTCCCATGTTCCAAACTTGGAATTCCATGTGAAGTACCATATGGACAAAAAAAGGATTTTTTTTGTCCCCTCCAAACTCTTTGGAATTACAAATTGCCCCAGCTGATGAAAAGTTAGTTTAGAAAAAGGAAAGCACACACACACACACACACACACACACACACACACACACACACACACACACACAAACACCACACCACATACTCATTTATTTTGAATCTCTGCAGTCTCTTCTAACAGTGAGATATGTGGCACTGTCCTATGGTCTTGTACTCTCAAAGGATGCTCCAGCCATCAAAGTCCCATCAGTGTCTCAGTAGCTCTAGCATCTCTTAATGTGAACCAGTGACGTCTTTGCCAGCAAATAAATAAAATATGCTCCCCTTTAGAGACTAGACTTTTCTCTGAAGTTATACTAGAACGTCAAACATAGCTGTACAGACATCTTTTCCTAGAGAATCAGCCTCCTTCACAGTATCTCCAGTGATGGAAACAGGCAGTGCAAACTCTCCCACATTAAACTCAATGAAAACTCAAGCCCTGTCTTGGTCCCCAGGTGGTGTCATTCTGACAAATTACTTCACATAAGTCTTCCATGTTCTCATCTTTGTATTGTAGAATATTACACATACAAACAAACACATGCGCGCGCGCACACGCGCGCACGCACACACACACACACACACACACACACACACACACACACACTAAGGACTTCATTTGACAGCTAAAGCCAATTCAAAAATGAATAAAATTAAATAATGTATAACGGAGGAGTCAGTGAAAGGGCAAGTTCAGTATTCTGTAAAAGAGTACATTTAAACATCCAGGGAGAGCAGAACTGAATTGTTTTTGAAATTTTAGGTTAGAAATATTTGACTAAAAGTAGTAATGAAAATAAAAATATAGTTTTGGGGATATTGCGTATGAAGGTATTAAGAGGACTTGTCTAGGGCAGGAGAGATGGCTCTGTGGCTATGGACACTGGCTGCTCTTCCAGAGGGCCCAGGTTTGATTCCCACACCCACACAGGAACTCACAATTGTCTGCAAGTCCAGTTCCAGGGAATCCAACGATGCCCTCTTCTGTCCCCCAGAGGTGCCAGGTACAAACATGTGATTCACTAACTCACATGCATGGAAAGCATCCACACACAAGAAATAAAATAATAAAAAATCAAATGACCTGCATATGATTACAAATTTTAATTCTTACCTTAAACTAGACAAGGAAGAAAAATAAGCATAAAAATAAGCGTAGGTTTTTTTTTTTTTTTTTTTTGGTTTTGGTTTTTTTTTTTTTTTCACCAGGGAAAAAGTCTTCATTGCTCTTACTTGATTTTACAACCCATGATTCTAAGGACTACTATATACCTCAGATAACTGTTCTTCCTTAGACATAAATGTACTTAATGAATGATGTTTTGCTCCTTCTGAGTAACTATTGAAGTTGCAGAACAAATAAATGAATCTGAAGTATTCTTATAGATACACATAAGAAACACATGAAATGGCCAGGTTTCATGACGATAACATCAATTCATTTCCTCTTGTTTCCTTCTTCAATGGGACCTCATTGAGGAGTCTCAGACCACCAAAATGTTGTTTAAAAAGCAACCATAACCAAATCTTGAGGAAAGAGTCAACACAAGTTCATGTCACCACTGCTTAACTTAGAAAACATTGCCTTTGACACTTTCTTCTCTACTCTTAGCTGACCCGTTTACTCAGACCAAATGTTGCCAAATGTCCAGAGTTTCACAGCAAGACTTTAGATGTCATTTCCTAACTGCCACTGGACGAAATGAAAGACCCAACTTTCCTTGTTGTCCTTCTTTTTAAGCACATGGTCTGTGAGCATGCCAGGCAAACCCGTTCCCCTCTGGTTAACAAGACTGTTGCAAAGGCAGATGGGTACTGTGTGAGGAACTCACACACTGTATCTCTTGTCTTCACAACCTCTTCGAAATGGCAAACTAAGAACTAAAGTTTACAAAGTTTGCCAAAGAGGGAATGGCACAGCACATGTTTGCAGATATGCCACAATACATAATTAAAAATAATAAAACCAATGCAATATAAAATAAAGTTATGCTACAAAGATTTGGAGTGAAAAAGGCAAGTTGCTCAATGTAAAACATTAGAGGTATGGATGGTTTATGGTACAGATTATAGGATCAAATGTATTACCTACATTCTTTTATGTAATGTTTTTGTGTAATTATGAAAATAAAGAGGCTAAATGTAACATCTCAGCATACATCTTTAATTGCTCAAGGAGTATCATGTGAAGTGCATGAAGAAGCAATATTTATTTCAAATTGTAAGTATTTAAGGTCTGTGATTTCTGAATCCACTATGAGAATTGATATAAACACAGACTATACTGATGCAAATGGACTAGCTGGGGGAAAGTTTGGCAACAGGATTCTAAAACTCATTTTGTGAAAAAGAATCTTCCTTCTTTCCTATTGGGGGTGTTGTAATAAAGTCAGACTCAATGGAGGACTCATACTTCCAACATGAAGATACTGAGTGCCTGTTGGTAATTTATCTTGACTTTGGTTTAATGCATTAGAGGATTCTACATAAAAATAAATTGTTTCAAATGATTTGAATTAAACTTCTCAAGTCATACTATATCTTAGCAGAAACTGAAAACCAAGCATAGATCTGCTTCCTGTTACATTACAAAGCTGACAAAATTGCTCAATAAATAATAAAGGTGAAATATTATTAATAAACAATCATCTTTCTTTTCAAATGTCCTGCATTTCTTCTGGTTTAATTTTCTCTTTGCTGTCTGATGCATAGGATAGACATCGCATTAATAACAGACTGAAGGAGAAGCAAATTCCTAATATTAAAAACTGAGGAAGAGATTTCTCTTTTATTGTCTCTGTGTTGGTGTCAATGTTCCAATTCTTCTTAGGAGCAGTGCTGACTTAAAAATGAAATTTCCTTTTCAATTTAGTATTGCATATAAAAATTTTTATATTACTTCCCCACACTGGCAGTTGGACTTAAGTACCAGTAATTTATAATGACATTTTTTTTTAGACCATGCAAAGCTGCTGTTTAGACATCCTTAAATCCAATTTTTCTTTGTGGACTTAATTGCACAGTAATCCAGTTCCCAAAGACATCAAAGGCCACATCCCCACTCTTTACCAAGATTTCAATTGCTCTCATAAGCTAGTAAGTTTAGAGCATGATCAAATTTGTTCTTCAATCACTTGAGCCGTGTTAATAAACTATTCTGTGTGCTCACTCACCCATTCTAAGATTCTGCAACTTCTTTGAGATATCTTCAAGAGGAATCTACAAAGACATCTTTGAATGCAAGCTGGCTCCAGGGTAAACTTTACCAACACTGTTTTCCTATTCCACAGAAGTTAACAGGTGACATGATCCGATATAAGTCAGCCTTAATCTTTTCTTTCCCCCACTGCTGTACACAAGCTGCTTTTAAAAACTGTATGTAACACACCATTGAGCGTTTGCAGAATTTAATATTTGACATCAAATATTGATCCCACCGCACACCAGGAGAAAAGTCCCCACACTACTCACAGTATTTCTTGGGATCTACCACATTAACACAAGAAGAGAAGAAAAGAAAGAGAAAGCATGGAAGGAAAACATGAATCACGGTCAACCAGAACACAGAAGCACTAAATCCCAACATAGTAAAGTAAGCAATGCAACTTACCACTCTCACTGTCCGACTTGTTCTCGTGCTCTGTGTCTGTCAGGGTGAGGGCTGAGTTGGACCGGCTTGACAGGCAGGAACTGCGGCCTGATTTGACCCCCCTGCCCCAAAGTCTCATGGCATGCTCTGGGGACATCACTGCTTCGTTTTCCGTATCAGCATCTGACCCTGCACTGATGGAGTAGCCTCTGTGAGGGAGCCCCATTTCCGCACAGAATGCCACTCCTCTTCGAGTTGCGGATTCACACACTCCTAACTGCCTTAGGGTAAAATTCTGTCCTAATTAGGGGGAAAGAGAGATAACAACTAGTGAGTATATGATCCCTGTGTTTTAGTTTCCTTTTATTTTTCTTTCAAAAAAAGAAAACTTCCCTGAAAGAAATACTCAATTGTCCAACCTTTCCCCTGCTATCAGCACCAGGTGTTTGCATCAGCTTTGCATGGCATATGGTCAAGTGGGTGTAATTACGGGAAGGCAGGAGGCCCACTAGGCTGCCTACAGGCTTTAGCTCAGATCCCTTTTGTCATCTTAAACCCAAAAGCACCACAGAGGGAAGAACTAGTTTCTGATGGTAGAGTTTGTCTTCACAAATTGTGAAGCAGTAGAAATGGACATGTGTCCTGGGTTTGGTCCTAACTATGGGATCCCCCTTCTTCCCCCCACACTTACATGTTACTTCTTTGGGTGAAAAAAAATTTGGTCATTTTTATGTGTATGCATGCATGTATGTATGTGTGTATATATGTGTTTGTGCCTGAACACTCAGTAGTGTAATACCTTGAAAATTAGCACCATGCATTGTATATCTATTTTTCTAGATGTTTTGCTTTAAGAAACACCTGGAAACACCTGCATTGGCCAAAGTGAACCAAGTTTTTTAAGTACAGTACACTCTAAAAAGAAAGTGGGAGTGATATGTTTTTAGAAATTAATGATACAACCAGGTTCCCTGAAAATAAATGGCTGTGAACTCTGCAAACCTTTACTAATAAATCGAGCATAATAAAACTCATGACACTGCAATCACTTAAAGCAAAAGTGTTTAAATCAGGTGACACCTCAGAAAGACTACGAGTATTAATGACTCTTCCTATCTTGTGTTTGTTTTTTGAAATCTCAGCATTTTATGACACTGTGGATAAGGAGAATTTGAAACATGTTTGATTGTGGAATACCTATATAAGGCATGTCTTGCCTGTATGAGAGGGCCCCAAATGTTGACATCTCCAGAATCAAGTATACATATACAAGAGTAGTATGAAAAATCTGATTTAAACACAGCTTCTTTACCAAATCTTTTATGAATATTAAGTATTTATATGACTCATGGTCTTAATTTTCCCACTTCCATCTTATGGATTTACATGAATATTTTAAAGTTAATTTGCTGTTATGAGAAACCTCCATTATATCTCTAAGAAAGGGTGTTATAAATTATTTGTGATAAAATGGCATCTTGAATCTTCTAGGAAATAAATCAAACATAAGACACAATACAGTAAATATTTGGTTGTAAAGATATTAGCCCCCTCCAGGCCCAGCACATTTAAACTAGTGTGGTTAATTGTTTTATTGCTGTGGTCATATCGGAAGTTGGAATCAGCTTTATCACAGTCAGACTTCCAAATGGATTCTGACAATGACACTCATAAATAATGAAAATTGCTGCTACAATTAGCTAGAAATCAAACTGTGCTTATCAGAGAGATGTGAATAAGCACTGGAGTCCAATCAGCATGTAAGAAAAAAATGAAAAGAAAAAAGGGAGGAAAAAAGGAAAGTGCTTCTCCAAGCCAGGGTGAAGGAAGGCACACTCATGGCGTAACATAGTGTTGTCCATGTTTGTAAAGAATTCGATGGTTTCACTGAAAATCAGTGAAAACAAGGTTGAGAGCAGCATGTGGAGAGTAAATGGATAAGCTAGGAAGAATTTTCTTATTGCCATTTACTGGTCACTTTTAAAGCAGACCAAGAGCTCTAAAACACTTAAGTGTTGCCATCAAACATAAAGATTTTTCAAATTGGAATGCAAATAATATTTAGAGTCAAGGAAAAAAATATACTGTTGCATCCTCTGAAACTCTCTCCTATCCTGGGAAATGTCTATATTATAGGATGGGAAAAAAAAAAACCAACAACAAGCAGAATTTTCTACTTCCTGAACTATAACTTGAGACATTTTCTAAGTTAATGACTTTCACCCTGCTTCCATCCTAATATAAATCTACACAGAAAGAAAGCAGAAAGCTGTAGTCCTTAATTGCTCTCTGGATATGTAAACATAGCTCACTTTGCAGCTAAATATCCCACACGTTATCCTCATGAAACAAATACATACAACCCAAACTCCAGAATTATTTGACCATTTGCAGTCAGTAACTCCCAAGAACTCAAATCTCTTTAGGGCAAATACAATAGCAGAAACCGCTGCTAGATCTCTTCCACTGACTGGGAAAGCTTATTTTTGTTTCCAGAAGGACACTGAGCTTGACTTCAGATATATCTAGGTTAAAGCCACCCACAAGTTCTGCTGAGATCTCTTTCCTACCAGGTTTTACATCTGTCTGAGTGTTTGCGACTTGACGGTTCTGGGCTGGTGATGTACTCGGTGGTGGGGCACTTGCTTAACACGTGTGAGGGGCAAGATAGATACACAGCACTAAAAAGGAGTGGGGGAGATGGTTTATGTAAATGTGAAAAAATCCCTTAAATACGTTGGCAAACATAATAATCACAGAGAGACCTATAATGTAAAGATTGCCTTTGAGATCATTCGCCAATAGTCAGGTCACCAACAAAGCTGATGTTTGTGTAGGTAGTCTGCTGTCGCCACAAAATGCCTCACCAAAGAACTGCTTCTGCATTTTGAGTTCTAACCGCAATAGATTCTTCCCTTTGGTTGGGCTGTCCTGACTTTTAGGAGCTTCTGCTTGAGTGTGATTACCCGTGGGGAGAACTAATCATTAAGCCAGAGTAATTAGTCTATCAAATTATTCCCCATGACCTAGTGATGTTTGTAAGATAGGCTATTTTTAATAATAATAATAATAATAATAATAATAATAATAATAATAATAATAGTAATAGTAATAATAACAACCACAGGCAGTTTTAGAAATATAGAGGAGATGGAGAGAAGAACTATCCCTGCCTGGGAGAAGAGACAGCTGGCAGAGTCGAAAGAGCTAGAACAGTAGGGTTGAGCTGGCTTTATCTAAAGGAAGGGCTTGGGGCAATACAGAGCAATAGATGCATAAGAAGCCACCAAAAACAGTTGCAGTAGGGATAAGCACCTGGGAGATGGATGTGTAGAACAAACTTCAGCTGTGTAACGAAGACTTACTAGCCTTGTGTTCTTCACAGTAGGGTCTAACGTCTTTAATTTAACTAATCTTTTGCCTTTCACAGTCTTTATATTAACTGTCTAAATTGGCAAAAAAAAAAAAAAAAAGTTTTTTTTTTAAATCTGCTGCACTTTGAATTGTGTTAACTTTGGTCATCAGGGCCAATAGCAGATCTTCCCATTATAATTTGAAACAGGACCAAAGCAATAAATTGTAGCAAGAACAAAGGATACCTGAGGGCGGAATATACTGTGATTAAAATGCAGCGTTAGCTTGGATTAGATTAGCCAATTCTGTTTTATGATACTCATAAACTGAAAAATCTATAGAGGAAAAATTGAATAAATATAGCCAAGGCAGGTGCATCACTTTAAAATAAGCTTATACTTAAAAAAAAAAAAAAGAATTGGGATATGTGACAAAGTAGACAGGATGGTTTAAGAACAAACACTTGGAACATGCAGCATAGCACTATGTCTTAAACAAGTGAGGGGAATCAGGAAATTGGGCTAGCTACACAGCCTGTCTTTTTATTTTCTGAAGTACCTAGAACTTAGTCAGAGCTGGGACAGACTTTCCTAAGAATGACACTAAAAAGAATATGTAAGAGGACAAGTGGAACAAGTGATGCGCTCTCTCTCTCTCTCTCTCTCTCTCTCTCTATATATATATATATATATATACACACACACACACACACATATATATATATATATATGTCTGCATGACTGATTTTATTTTTGGTGTGTGTGTGTGTATATGCACTTTGCTGTGAGTGTGTTTTGAAACAGTGTATCGACAGCCTAGGTAATCATAGTTTCATAACCGGGGCGATCTGGAACTTTGACCTCCTGTCTCCACTCTTCCCAAATGATGACATTACAGATGTGCAACATCACTGAGTACTGGATGGTGATGAGGCCTGAATTCGGGGCTTCTTGCCTGATAGATAAGCTGTCAGCCAATTGGGCGACATAGCAAGCAGCTCTGGGGAAGTCCCAATGCATGCATTGTGCACAATTCAACACATTTTAGGAGATTCACAGATTTCTGCAACTATGATCACAATCAACTTTTGAATGCTTTTACTATCCCCATAAAGGACCCCATAATTATCAGGCACCTCTCATTTTCTGCTAGCATCCTCCCTTCTTAGCTCGTGGTAACCACTAATCAACTTCCATCTGTACAGATGCTGATTTGAGATATTTCGGAGACGACCCTACAGTATGTGTTCTTCTGTGATTGACTTGGTTCACTGAATACCATAATTTATTTTTTTCAAGTTCAAACATGGGTGTGAGATGTCTCAGGAGGTAAAGGCATTTGCCCCAAGCTTGACCTGAGTTCCATCAGTGAATCCCAAGTGATAGAGAGAACCAATCCATGAAAATTGTCCTCTGACCTCCACATCCACACCTTAGTACATGTGTGCCCATATAATACACATACAGCATACAAGTAAATAAATGCAATATTTGAAAAAAATTAAAAATAAAGAAGCAAACATTTTAGTCTGTATCAGAAATACATTCCTTTTCACATTACAGTGTATGGGTATGTCATCTTTCACATATCCATGCATTAGATAGTGAGCATTTGAGTTGTGTCTGTCTGGGGCCACTATGAAAATACCACTGGGAAGATTGGCACACAAGGTTTGGTGTATGTGCCTTCATCTCTCCTGGATTTACATTAGGAGAGGGCTTGCTGAGCCATAGCATAGGGAGATACTTGGCATCCTCAGACCTGCCAAGTGCTTTCCACAGCAGACGCTGCGTTTATTCCCATCGTCAGTGTATGAGGGTCCCAAGGTCACATTATCACTACCACTTGTTACTGTCTGTTCCTTCTTCAGCATATCACACTGTAAGTTGGTTCTAAAGTTTGCAGCGAGTCTTTGGAATTTAGATCATTGGCACTGAATTTAAGGG